TTATTAAGTAATAAAGTCCTCTCTGCTAAACCTCAATTTCTTAACATTAACATTGACCACGTTGCGATTGAGCACGGTCCCGATTGACCACGGTCTTGATTGACTACCGTCCCGATTGACCACAGTCCCATTTTACTACGGTCTTGATTAACCACAATCCCGATTGACCACCGTCTCAATTGACCACCGTCCCGATTGACCACGGTCACTATTGACCACGTTGAAATTGACCACGTTGCGTTTGACCACGTTAATATTAATCACGTTGCGATTGACTACGGTCCCGATTGCCCACGGTCTCTATTAATCACGGTCTCTATTGACCACGTTGATATTGACCACAGTTTCGATTAACCACGTTGATATTGGCCACGGTCCCGATTAGCCACAGTCCCGATTGACCACCGTCCCGATCGACCACCGTCCCGATCGACCACGGTCCCGATCAACCACGGTCCCGATTGACCACCGTCCCGATTGACCACCGTCCCAATTGACCACCGTCTCGATTGACCACGGTCTCGTTTGACTACATTGAAATTGACAATATTGAATGCGATCTTGTTATCGCTGCATTTAATAGTATTTGTTATTTTTTCCCGAGCAATAAATTGATATAGTCGATACTGCATTATGTCACATTTTTCATCATTTTTCTCGTATATATACAGCTTGCATATTTTACATATTGCAGTAATTTACGTTAGTATAAGAGGTTAGGATGTAACCGGATCAACGATTGACGCTGTTAAAATTGAATAATATAGCCACTTACTCCTTGGGCTGTAATTATGGTCGCCACTGTATTTTCTGGTTGTATACAGAAACCTTGATGCAATGCGTTGCCCCTTCCTTCCTTCTAGCGTAATGGCTGCCGCTGTTCTACGCCGCGGACGTGTTCAAGGCCGTCGGCTACGCCCTGGTTAAGCTGGTCACACACACTTTCCGTAGAACGTAACAGTAGGAACACGTACGACTCTGCAAGACACACAACGTTCGTAACGCAGCGTCGCTACGATAACCGTGACTGACCGTGGCAGGCTTGACTTTATTTGCTGCGGACGCTGCAGTATAGGTTATAGGAGTGAATTGTCAGCAAAATATTTGAAAAATGAGAGTAAATTTATCAATTGTCGTAGAATAAATTTTTCATTACATCATTGGGTGAGTACAAATTTATGCATTAAATATAATATTCTATTATAAATTGATATAATAGGAATAATAAAGAAACAAACTGAATAATTGAAATATTTCATCTTTAAGCAAAGGAAAGGTTAAATAGAATTTGTTATTTTCTTTCAGAATATGGACGACATAGAACTGTTTTATATTTATCATTGGATGGCTGCATACATTTTGTCACGCAGAAGAAGAAATTATTCTAAGCGTTGGGTTAATCGGAGATGGTGGGTTAGGAATATTAATAAGAACCGTAATCAGCAAAGAGATTTTAATGCTCTATTTCAAGAACTAAAAGATGACACGGAAATGTTTTTTCGATATACTAGAATGAGCGTTAACGTTTTTTATTTATTGTTGGAATTGGTTAAACCATTTTTAAGAAAAAATAATTGGAGAGCTTTGTGCCCAGATCAACGACTGTCTTTGACTTTGAGGTTAGTCATATGTATTCAATCACTTACGTATTTTAAAATTGCATAGACAATAGGTTTGTTTATGTTATTTGCACAGAGTACTAGAAGTATATACTGTGCACTATTCTGTAGGGTAGGTTCAATATACAAAAGAACTGAAACTAAAGGTGTAGAGTGTTAGCTCCAATGCTTTAGTTTGCTTAGTTTGTATGTACAAGTACTACAAACAAACTAAATATGGAGTATGTGTATTATTTCTTTTTAGTTGATCAAAATACTCACACGATGCCAGGCTAAACTGAATGTTTGTCATAATTACAGATATCTGGCTACTGGTGATCAACTGCTTTCGATCGCTTTTGCATATAGAATCGGAGAGTCAACAGTATCTTCGGTCATTAAGCACACTTGTACCGTATTAAGCAAAGTATTGGCCCCACTATATGTAGTCCCTCCAACGTCAGAAAAATGGGAACAAATTGCTGCAGATTTTCTTAGAGATTGGAATATTCCGAATTGCGTTGGATCGTTCGATGGAAAACACGTACACATTCAAGCTCCGCCAAATTCTGGAAGCGTCTACTTTAACTATAAAAAAAGTTTCAGCATTGTCCTAATGGCTGCTTGCGATTCTAATTATAAATTTACTCTTATTGACGTTGGTACTAATGGCAGTATTAGCGACGGGAGCATATTTGCTTCATCTGAAATAGGCCAAGCAGTTAAATATGAAACATTGAACGTGCCACAAGGGCAGATACAACTTCCTGGCAGTAATCAATCAACGCCATATTTTTTCATCGGTGATCAAGCTTTTCCACTGATGAAAAATTTTATGAGGCCCTACGCTGGACGAAGATTGGAAGAAAAAAAGCAAATATTTAATTATAGATTATCTCGTGCTAGAAGAACGATAGAGAACGCATTCGGAATACTTTCTGCACGTTGGAGAGTTTATCGTCGACCAATTTGTTTGGATTTAAACGCCGTTGATAAGATAGTAATAAGTACTGTATGTCTCCATAATTTTTTAAAGACACAGGATGAAAAGCATACGCCGGAAAAACGATTATACTGTCCACCACTCTTTGTTGATTCAGAATTAGAAAACGGTCAAGTAATTGAAGGAACTTGGAGGAATGAACAGATGCAATCACAACGTTTACAACCTACTGGTGCACATCGAGCGAGCAGAAACGCAATGGAGCAACGTGACATTTTAGCAGATTACTTTGTAACCCAAGCAGGAGAGATTCCATGGCAGTATGACTATATTAGAAGAGGGACAAACAGAGACTAAACAAATAATACAAATGTTCATATAAAATATTTAATAATCATATATATTTTATATATAAACGTATACATTTTTATAATCATATGTTATCATATATTATATATTTTATATAATATTAAATGTTTGCTGGTTGCTAACCAAATCTTAATCAACGTACATAAAAACTTATTAATAACTAAATATAATTTGTTTTATTAACTCATAAATCTCATAATACGTACATAAACTTATTAAC